ATACTCTGCAGTATGTACTTCATATACTTTATATACCTACGATTTAAAAAAATGTATATATAAATGTATATCAAACAGTTTTCAATGGTAAACTTTATAAACAGTAGTACGGTACATTGTCACTTGACATGACTAGTGAGTGACACTATGCAGTATGTATTAGGATTTTATAAAAATACTATGTGAAACAGTCTGCAGTGGTAAATGATAAACTCTGTTGTTTGACCACTAGTGTGTAGCATAGTATGCAGTATGTATTGTATATACTACGATTATTATTATGAATTTCAAAAAAAGCATGTGAACAGTCTTCAAATACAAACAGCAGTATGTTATTACGGTGTATAACACAGTATGTGCTACATACTGCCTACAGTTTAAGCGGGTTCGTTCTCATTCGAAAAACATTGAGTGTATCATTATAAAATCCATGAGTTTTGCACCTGAATCAGTGGTGATATCATCTCTTAGCATCCGTCCTGTTGTGTTGGTGGCATTTACTCTGCTAACAGCTATCAAATCGCAGGCGATTCATTGCCGATTTTGAACGCGATTTTGTGTAGCTTGTCAGTGAACTACGGCTCTGTGTAGTAAATGCTGCTCCATCTGAAAGCACGTGCTGGAGCTTTACTGCTAATCACAGGAGCGGCTTTACTGACGAGATGCGCATGAAAATCGCATTCTATTTTTTGCACAGCCCTACTAACAGCTATCGTTAGTCTCACTGTCACGGAGGTGATTGAGAACTTCTCCTTCCTCCCAGCTGTTCTGATGTATCGTACACACTCCTGTGTGTGTGTGTGTGTGTGTGTGTGTGTAACGTGTCAATCATGCATTAGCAGGTTTTAGTAGATGAGGTGGATTTATTAAAGCTGTTAGCAGACTCAGCGGCATATCGACTCGTGCAGGCATATTGATTTAGACTACTACTCTCTCTCTCTGCTGTTTTCCCTCACAGCATGGTGCTGCTAAAACAATATTTTTATGGTGTCTAAACCACAGCTTCCATTAGACCACCTGCATCTTGGATGCCCTGGGGGTAAGCAGATAAACATCAAATTTTCATTTTTGGGTGAACTATCCCTTTAATAATATGAAACTTAATAGACCTTAGTCAGAGTTGACAGCATATTTATTTTGCAGGAGTGCAGAGTCGGAATTCGCCATTTTCAAGGTTAAATTGTAGAAACCTTTTTTTTTGTTGCCTTTTTTTAATTGAAAAAAATATCTATTAAACCATAATTGTAATTATGTATGTATTTATTGATTTCATAACTATTCTATATATTTCAATCAGAAACACATGGGACACAAAATATGATGTTTAAACTAATTAATTTATACAGTAAATTACATATATAAAATTACAATATTACAGTAAATCTGCGTGTCCTCTTACAGAAAAAAATCTATTTCAAGTGATCATACACATTTTTTTAATGCATTTTGGAAATTTCCAACCACTAATTGTTATGCAATTTCCCAATATTTGTTTAGAAGTACAAAACCTAAGGTTTTGCGGCATTCCTTAACATTTTCCGGCCAATTTTTTCTTGTTTTTTTCTTTTAATTTTATTGAAACTTATTTTATTTTTAATAATTACAGTAATTGTGACATGTCATGAATGGATTAAGTTACATGATTTTGTTATTTTTTTAGTTTTGCACGACTTCGAGTTTTTAGGTAAACGTTCATATCTTATTATCGAATTTAATTTTATGCAATTTTCCAATATTTGCATAAAAATACATGGATAGAGACCTGGCTAATGACATTAGGGATGGGGAGGAAGTAGTGCTGGGCGGTATACCGGTTCATATCGAATACCGGTGTTTATTTTTGTTATGATATGAATTCTTAAAATACTGCAATACCGGTGTATGTCACTTAAACAACGTTTGGAACGCGATACTGTTTGAAAGGGGTCTCTTTTCACTGGTGCACTGTGGTGAGGGCACAGTGCGTCATGTGTTACTAAGCGTGAAAGTTCCGAAACTGAAGCTGTAGAACTAATAGAATGTGATGACACAGAAGAACTCATCCACAATATCCACACTGACCGCCACAAATATCCTCCGCCCCCTGCCATCAGCTCCCACGTCTCTCACACACACACACACAAGCGCGACTTTGGCACTAGATTTAGCAACTTTCAGACCCTTTTAGCAGATTTTTTTCATAGAATATTCATACTGACAAACCTAGCGACTTTTTTTGAATAAATCTTAGCTATGGTTCAGTTGGAAGATCTTGCCAGTGCTGTCCCGCGAGCGTGAGGTCTGACTTTCCCGGAGAAGTGTCACCTCTCTCGGCGTCTGTTCTGTGCAGTGAAACACCGCAGCTGACTCGTCAATAAATGAGTACAAAACAGCGTTTCCTAGCACCTGTCGCTTACTGATTGTTTGGAATTATAAATATGAGCGTAGTTGTGTACACACCTCACGCACCGGATGCCGTGCGCGCGCCCAAAGACAGTTGGACATAGTGGTGTATTAGAGGTAAAAAATTATATAAATACTGTTCGGTTTCTGGCACAAACCGATCATTTCGTGTCTTAGGACATCAACGTGTCGTCACGAGCCGCAGGGTTTAATTTGGATTTGTCTGTGCATGTTTTTTTTTACTCTCATAGATTGTTACCATTGCCATGCATTATACAACTGATAGACTGCAACGGTTAAAGCTAAAAATCATCATATGTGTTCTACTGAAGAAACAAAGTCACCTGCATCTTGGATGCCCTGGGGGTAAGCAGATAAACATCAAATTTTCATTTTTGGGTGAACTATCCCTTTAATAATATGAAACTTAATAGACCTTAGTCAGAGTTGACAGCATATTTATTTTGCAGGAGTGCAGAGTCGGAATTCGCCATTTTCAAGGTTAAATTGTAGAAACCTTTTTTTTTGTTGCCTTTTTTTAATTGAAAAAAATATCTATTAAACCATAATTGTAATTATGTATGTATTTATTGATTTCATAACTATTCTATATATTTCAATCAGAAACACATGGGACACAAAATATGATGTTTAAACTAATTAATTTATACAGTAAATTACATATATAAAATTACAATATTACAGTAAATCTGCGTGTCCTCTTACAGAAAAAAATCTATTTCAAGTGATCATACACATTTTTTTAATGAAATTTCCAAATTTCCAACCACTAATTGTTATGCAATTTCCCAATATTTGTTTAGAAGTACAAAACCTAAGGTTTTGCGGAACATTTTCCCATTTTCCGGCCAATTTTTTCTTGTTTTTTTCTTTTAATTTTATTGAAACTTATTTTATTTTTAATAATTACAGTAATTGTGACATGTCATGAATGGATTAAGTTACATGATTTTGTTATTTTTTTAGTTTTGCACGACTTCGAGTTTTTAGGTAAACGTTCATATCTTATTATCGAATTTAATTTTATGCAATTTTCCAATATTTGCATAAAAATACATGGATAGAGACCTGGCTAATGACATTAGGGATGGGGAGGAAGTAGTGCTGGGCGGTATACCGGTTCATATCGAATACCGGTGTTTATTTTTGTTATGATATGAATTCTTAAAATACTGCAATACCGGTGTATGTCACTTAAACAACGTTTGGAACGCGATACTGTTTGAAAGGGGTCTCTTTTCACTGGTGCACTGTGGTGAGAGCACAGTGCGTCATGTGTTACTAAGCGTGAAAGTTCCGAAACTGAAGCTGTAGAACTAATAGAATGTGATGACACAGAAGAACTCATCCACAATATCCACACTGACCGCCACAAATATCCTCCGCCCCCTGCCATCAGCTCCCACGTCTCTCACACACACACACACAAGCGCGACTTTGGCACTAGATTTAGCAACTTTCAGACCCTTTTAGCAGATTTTTTTCATAGAATATTCATACTGACAAACCTAGCGACTTTTTTTGAATAAATCTTAGCTATGGTTCAGTTGGAAGATCTTGCCAGTGCTGTCCCGCGAGCGTGAGGTCTGACTTTCCCGGAGAAGTGTCACCTCTCTCGGCGTCTGTTCTGTGCAGTGAGCGGCAGAGAAGCAGCGCTTTCAGTTGGCCACACCGCAGCCAACTCGTCAATAAATAAGTACAAAACAGCGTTTCCTAGCACCTGTCGCTTACTGATTGTTTGGAATTATAAATATGAGCGTAGTTCGTCTGTTAATATCACATGCACTTTTTTGTTTGTTGTTTTTTTTAGTTTGTTACTCAGACGCAGGCAGTGCGCTGCATGAGACAAAAAAGTAATATAGCCAAAACAACCACATAGGTAACCACATCTTTAGTGTAGATGCATGTTGATTTTATCAGACTATGCCGCGATTATAAATGAGAGTGACTCCTAGTTAACATGTATTAAAAAGGGTCGTGTTTAGTCACTATTTAGTGTGGTATTTTTTGACAATATTCACTCATCATGACAGTAAAATAGGGCATTCTAAGTCAATATACTGCTGTATTTCCTCTCTCAATCAGTAGAAAATATGGTTAACACCCGGTCTTGCATGAAAAAAAAATACCGTCATGTACCGTGAAACCGGAATAATTTTCAAAAATACCATGATATAAATTTTTGGTCATACCGCCCAGCAGTAGGGGGAAGGTTTTGCAACATTCCTCAAAATTGTGGAAACTTTTTTTTTTTTTCAGACATTTGTTATTAATTACACCAACATGGTATGACTGCTACAAAAGTTACGTTTTTTTTTTCCTTATCTGGGAATTTATAGAGTAAATGTGCATGCCTTCTTGCCAAATAAAAACGTGTCTACTTCAAGCAATCATATAAATTTTTTATTATCCCAACCAGCAATTTTTATGCAATTTCCCATGATTTGAAACCAGGAAGTTTTGTGACATTCTTCAAATCATAATTTTCGTTCACATCAAATTTATGTGCATTCAGGTCTATAAGAACCTCACAACCTCAAGAAGAGAACAAATAATCACACACAAAGTTAAATTTCTCCCTCTCTTTGTTTCCTCAGAGTTGGGTTCACTTTCCTGGGATGACCTGGAGAACGATCTTCCAGATGAGCTGATACCTAATGGAGACCTGGGGATGATGTCCATGTCCTCTAACGGCGGTGCTACAGGTACAGGCGGTCATGGCCCCATGGTCCCCGATGCTGCTGCCAAGCACAAGCAGCTCTCCGAGCTCTTACGGCCGGGAAGCAGCGCTGGGTTGAACTCGGCCAGTCCGCAGCCCGGCGGCATCGGACCTCAGCTGGGTGGGCTTGGAAAGAGTCCCCTGGGCCAGGGCTCCCCTTCCCACCCCTCTCAAACACAGAAATCAGGTGGCACTCCCGGGATGCAGGGCAATAACGCCGGCTCAGCTGGCATGGGACTCGGCACGGGATTTAACCAGGCCATGCTGAACAGCGGCATGAATGGACAGAACGCGGCCGGACAGCCAGGTCAGGTGATCAATGGGACTCTCGGCTCTGTAGGCCGCGGTCGAGGAGCACCGGGGATGCAGTACCAGGGTGCCGGCATGCAGGTGACACCTTCTGTAGGGGCGGGAGGAGCAGCGGGGGCTGCAGCAACAGGAGGAGTGGGGAGTGTCCTGGCAGAAACGCTCACACAGGGGGCGCAGCAGATGGGCATCAACACCCAGCAAGCCGGAAATATCAACAAGGTGAGATGGCCAGTTTCCTTTGCTGTGGTTTCGCTCATTTTGAGTTCAGAGTCTTGAGAAGATTTACGATTTTTTTGGCGCGAATGAAAATGGTCCCTGATGAATATCCCTATTATCAATTCATGTGTATTTAAATACAATTTTCAAATTGCATGTAAAAAATGTATTCTGTTAGAAGACACAGGCTACACATTTACCGTATAAATTCCTAGTTGAGCATCACACAAGTCATGTCACTGAATAATTTGTCCAGATGATTGGCTATTACTTTCCAGAATATTCTGATAGTCATAAAACAGCTGCCGGTGATCACTAGTAGGGATGCTCCAATCCCCCTTTTTCACCTCCGATACCGATTCCGATACCTAAGGTTCAGTATTGGCCGATACCAGTGAAGGTTTTATAATTTTTTTCCCCATTTCAATAAATGTAGATTTTATATATCTCTGTGTGTGGAACTGATAATCATTCTTTCACAATCTACTAAATACAGACTACTTCATTATAAAGAAAAATAAACAATAAATATGAAAAAATATATGTATATTCATAATCTATGACAAAAATATATCATAAACTAGGTTAGTGGATAATTCGGTGGCAAAAGTTATTCTAGAAAAATCAGTGCACAATTTTAGAAATCCAAACATTTAGCGAAAAAACAATGTTTTGTGGGGAACAAATAAAAGTGTTGCACTAAATATGGTAAAATGTTACACATTGCTATTTGTATTATAAAATCCATTAAAGGTGTAATAGGTGATTGTGTTCAGAAATTGTTTTTGTTATGCTGGTTGAAAGTCTCTTCACATCCCGATAGCAATCATTAAGTTAAGTGGTCTAAATGTATTCATCTGTATTTATATATTTTGTGGAAGGCATAGGACCAAGAAATGTTCGTCCAATCAAAACGCTCGGTCCGAGCGTTTTAATAAGCTTTCCTACCTGCCTGTCAGCTTATGTATCTGCATACCTCTGTGCACCCGGTTCGCGCAGACAGGACACGTCATCAGCGCGTTCACGCACGCTGTGCAGACAGAGCGAGGATGGCAGGCAAACATCAACAACCCGATCTTCCTTCCTGGTATTGTAGTACTTTTAAAGTTTTCTCACCGGTGAATGACGCATGATGTAGCCCAGCGATTAATCCAGTCCTTGCGCCCCCCACTCTGCATATTTTGAATGTCTCGCTTAGTTAACACACCCGATTCAAATAATCAGCTCGTTAGAAGTGAGCTACGTGCATGAACTGTGTTCCGATCGATATGATCCCTACACAGTGTTCATTGCTCCCTCCTCACTGAGCGGGGGAAATACGTTGACTTCACTTCGGAACATGGGCTGGAATTGGGAACCGCTGATGTAGCCTATTGTAGTAATGTTGTCTCTGGTACTCTGGTCTGTGAGTGAGCGTATATGCATTCAGGGGGCGTGGCTTTGGACGGCGATTGCAGGGAGGGTGGGACATTCGCTTTCAGTGCTATCAGGCTAAAGTTAGCATTTTCCAAGATCTCCTATTGCGCCTTTAATGAAAAACATTCATGAGTGTATTTATATATAAGTATATACTATAAAATTAAAATACATTTCTTTTAAATGTATAGCATATTTTTTAATAAGGCAACAACATATGATAGATTCGATAGGACAAAACAAATACAGTGCGGCACGAAGCGCTTACAATATGTGCATCCGGTGTGCAGAATGATGCGCTTGAAGCAACACGGAATCACAGCATGCAGCGCTTTGCATTAAAAAGTGCAAAGCACAAAGGGAAGAGAAATTGATGCGTAGTGTATTATATCTGTGCAACAGTTATTGAGCCTTTCTTTTAACAGTTTTAAATTTCAGTTACTGTACGCATTAAAAACTATTTATAGTCTTTTATATGCCCATGTTTTGTTTTCACAGACACCCGGTAACAAAACAACATTAAACTCTGGCAAGAAGATAAAGTCCTTTTTGCAAAATTAGAAACATTTATTTACAAATCAAGTATAATAATGGGAACACAGAATGGTCTTGGAGAGAGCTTTACTGAGCTGACTGTCGTAACCCAATGCAACCAGGGTTTAAAGGCTGAACGAATGACTGAATTCAGCGGGTGTTTCACAACGGAGAAAAGAGTTTGTGTGAACTTTAATGTAAGGACTTAAATATTCATATGTAGCTGACATTAAAGTGATACGGTTTCTACGTGTATTTACGTTTTGATTTGAACGAAAACAGCGCGTTCAGTGGATATTCTCTAAAATGGCACTACGGTGATGCGGAGAGACACAGAGGAGACGAATTGTTGAATATGGTTATTTTTGTTTTCTTCGCATACAAAAAGTATTCTCATCGCTTCATAACGTTACGGTTGAACCACTGATGGCAGATGGACTATTCTGACGATGTCTTTCATACTTTTCTGGACCTTGACAGTGTAATTTACTTGACAGTCAATGGGACAGTCACAAGCCTCCCGGTTTTCATCCAAAATATCTTAAATTGTGTTTTGAAGACAAACGAAGCTTTTACGGGTTTGGAACAACATGGGAGTAAGTGATTAATGACACAATTTTCATTTTGGGGTGAAGTAACCCTTTAAGCTATCGTATGGCTTCAGAAGTAACACAGAATAATACGCACAATCTCGGATTTGGATCAGCCCTCTCTGACCGATACCCGATCCGACAAAAAATGGCAGTATCGGAGCCGATACCTGATATGAATATTGGATCGGCACATCCCTAATCGCTAGTATAGTGTTTTGTTTGCACGTTATAAACCGCAAATAATTTAATAGATTTATTAAAATAGCGGTGGTGGCTTGATCAGTGGCTACAACTTCCATTTCTGTTTTACCCAAAAGTAACGATTTTTGTTCCCTGTTTTGTTCCCTTTGTGAATATTTTTTGCAATATTCAGATTTTTATCATTTCAGTTACTAACTGATGTTTTTGTTTTAATTTTTCATCTAATTGTGCCGGTGTTGTTGTTATTAGCTAGAAATGTTCAATTGTTTTCGCTAATTGAAATAAAGGTTAAATAAAATATTAAATGAAAAATGTAAACTTAACTTTTAATGAAAATTTGGCCTTGGCAACTAACTAAAATAACATGAGTTGATGTATTAAAATTACTAAAACTAAAATAAAGCTAATTAGAAATAAAAAAACAACATAACTAACAAAACAAAATTACTAAAATGAAAATGAAAACTGAAAATATAAAAATAAAAACTAATTCAAAATATTAATTCTATTATGGTGTATAAAAATAATAAAATAACACTGAAAAGTATGTCTCATTTCCTCTTTTTTTTTTTTTTACATGTAGATTTACCGTTTTCATCATCTAACGCTCATTTAACGGAAAAATAACATTAACAACAGTAATAATTAACATTGTTAAATGAAATCTTTGCAAATACTGTCTGTTTTCGTACTGTACATTATCATGTTGTGATGCCGATAATCACTTTTAGCATCTACAGCAATTGTTTTTTTTTATTTTGTGATATTTTATTTTTTTATTTTACTTTCACAATATAGTAGGGTGAATTCAAGTAAATGAGGACACTTTTTGCAATTGAGATTCACCATTGAATTCAGCCATTTTAATATTGGCTTTTTGGTATCTGCAATCATTTTATTATTGGTGCATCCCTACATTTAAATTCACATGTATACCATCAAGTGGCTCTGTATTAAGTTATGACAGTGGGGTTTTGTGAAATCTGTTTCATATCTTTTGTAACGCTCCAGTATTGCGGTGGAATCCGATCGGTGTGTAAATTAGGCTGTGCGTCCAGTTTGATCTGTCAGTGTAGCAGCAGACAGACTCACATTATCACTCTCTATCTGGAGCCGCACTGTGCTGCCTCATTGTTTGATTACTTGAGTCATTCCTGCACTTGTGTTTTTTATTAGGCTTAAATGCTTGCATTACGAGAGCAGTTGCATGCCAGAACGCTCTTAAACTCTGCCATTTTGTTTGAAGTCCTGCTATAACGCCAGCCAGCCGCAGAATTATGCATGATGGGAAGGCAAATGAAAAGCTCTCAGTGTAAAGTGGCATGTTACATGCATACACATCTCATCTGTGCTCTATGCAAATTTGATGAACAAAACGCGTCTCAATGATAGATGGGTTACTGACTGATGGGGTCTGAAAGCAGCCCTTGAATGTCAGAAATGGCAGGTGTGTGCATTTGTGTTACGAATACAAATCCCTAGTAATTTATAGGGGTTAGTGCTGAAAAATGCTTGAATTTTGCATTTCTTAAAAATTGTCATTACACCCCCCTGCATCACATTTGCTGAATGAAATCCAATACTTGTTTCTTACTAATTTTCAGGTGCTGATTCCAAAAATAGTTATTATTATATAAAAATAAATAGAGTTGTTAAATTGTTTTTTTTGGGGGGGGGGCTTATTTCATAGGGCCCTAAAAATTTAATTTTTATAAAACTTTTAATAAATTGTTAGTAGATTATATAAGTTTCATGATTTCAATTAATTAGACATGCCTTTTGATCAGAAATACAAAAATTTAATTTAACCATTAAAAAGAAGTCCAGAAATAAATAAATGCAAGACAATTTGTGGAAAATTAAATGGAATGCTTGGAAAAAAAAGAAGAAAAAAGTTTGTGTTCATGTAAAAACAATTTTTTTACATTTGAGTATTTTAACATATTTTCCCCCAATCCTTTAGAGATGTTAAATTATACATTTTGAATACTACTTCTTGATTAAACTTTTGACATTTGACTGCTTCTGTTATTTTTATGTGCATTAAAGCGTTAGTTCACCCAAAAATGAAAATTAGCTTGTGTTTTACTCACCCTTGAAGCATCCTAGGTGTATATGACTTTCTTCTTTCAGACGAATCCAGTCGGAGTTATATTAAAAATTGTCCTGGCTATTCCAAGCTCTATCATTGCAGTCAGCGGGTGTTGCAGTTGAACAGTCCACAAGTCATCAAAATATGCGCAGCGTGCATGCCTCTGA